ATTAGTAGACATTGTCATAGACAATAAATACCTCACCAATCAATGCATAAAAGTATGCAATCATTCAGGAATTTGCTTAATCGTCCGTACAAATACAAGAAGAAACATTAATTTGCATTGGGTCTGCAAGTTTCTTAATCATGCAATTAATTGGTTAATGTGTTGTGTTGGTTTGTTGTGCTTCAATATTTGTGGAGAAACACTGGGGGGATGTATCTAAGGCAAAAGTTATTTCGAAACTTTTTTGTTTTGTCTGGGTGATTTGGTTGGACAGAAATGCTAGAAAGATAGGGGAAAAAAAGATGCACTTGAACTATGGGATTGGAGTGCGTTTTTGGACCTAATTATGGGCTTGGTTCTTTTCTTATTGATTCTGGTTGGGGAGCTGTTGTTGAGTGTTTTGTTGTTGTGGTTTCAGTTTAGCTTTGATAACTTTGTTTTTGAGAGATTACTTTCCAGATTGTATAGTTGAGTTAGTGCACTGCTGGTCTGCTGAAGGACATTTATCTTTGTATTTCTTTGATTTAAATGAAGTCATTCTTTCCTATTTAAAAAAGTGCTCAGTCATTCATTAATATATTTTACTTAGTTTTAAATGTATACTGTTGGTAAAAGTAAATAAAAATAAAAACACTAATTTAGGAGATTATAATATATATATATATATATTTTAAACTAAGACTAAGTTAGGAGATTGTTGATTGCAGAAAACAATTTGTAAGAAATACAAATACATCTGTAAGAAAGAGAGAAATTTTGTGTAACACGTCAATAGTGAGGGAGATAAGGGTATAGTGTCAGGGAGGTTTTGGTGAATAAATTGGTAAAGTCCATGTCACGGTGTCTCAGATGTAGACATAGGTAAGTTTTTTAGGTGAGTGGGTGAAGTTGTCTGTGTATTGGAGAAATTAACTTGCTTATGATGGATGATGTGACTGCATCTCCAGCTGTTTTTCTATTATTTTAATTTTTATTGTTTAGAATATTTAAACTGAGTCCATTAGATCAAATAGAGCTTTTAGATCAGTTGTCAATTTGATAAAGCATTATAGACTTCCATCAAGTGTAGGGTTTGCATCAATTGGGAAGTAAGGGTTGAACCTTTGATTGGTCCTCTTTTTCTTTTCTTTGTTCTTTGGAAATCTTTTTAAAATCATTTACTCTAACTTCTGGCAGGAACAGGCGCCACCAATGCCAAGTTCATATGGTTATCCAGTCCTCAAAATAAACCATATCTACGCATAGAGATGATAAGAGAGTGAAAATTTTGAAAACCTAGGAATTCTATGTAGTATTGAGTTGCTTGTGTGATTCGTTATATTTGGTCAAAATAGTATAATTTCTCAAATTTCATTTAAAATTCCATATTTTCTCAAAATTTATGTCCTTTCTCTCAAATTTTTACCTATATCGTTACTTTTTGTCAATATTTCTGTTTTTAAACTCTCATTTTTCTATCAGTTTTGTTCTTTAATACCTTGATTTTCAGTAGCAGGCTGTTTATCTTTTTTATTCAGTATATTTGCTTTTGGTGTTGTTTTACATTATACCAGCTAATTTTGTATGATTTAAAAAGCAGTAATAGTTCATGTATCTCTTTTGTACAGGGAATGTCAGCAATGGAGTAGTAGAATACAATGGTGATGGTGGCTTTGATGGTGGGCGTGGCTATGGTGGCTTTGATGGTGGGCGCGGCTATGGTGGCTTTGATGGTGGGCGCGGCTATGGTGGCAGGGGTCGAGGTCGTGGAAGAATCCGTGGTTATCGTGGACGTGGACGAGGATATGGTGGTGGAAGTATGCAGCTGGAATCAGGTGGTTATAATGCTTATAATGATTATGGAGGTGGGGCACCTCCTACACAAGGTCGTGGTAAGCTTTCACATCATTAAATCCATTGTGTTTAAATAATATAATGGAGAAATGTATATCTATGATTATAATCTTCCCCGTTGTATTATGAATCCTTTTCTTAAGATATGGATTTTTAAATTTAAATAGTCAAATCATGTAAACTAAAGCTTCCATGGGATGTGTATGTTGGGATGAATAATTTACATTGTCGAGGGCGCTTTTGAAAATTTTGGTTAGTTCCCGAACAAATAACAAAATTGACTTTGAATGTTGCAAATTGTCATACAAATAACAAATCTTTTATTAGAATGAAGAAAGGTGGAATCCGCCTTCATTTTTGTTGCTGGCATTGAGTTTCCTTTGGTGCTGATGCGTTTGATATTTTTCTTAGGCTATCTGCGAAATTTGTCTTTCATTCTTAATATATGAATGTAATATAACCTTTTTATGGTTTCTATCTTGGTTCTTGCAGGACGAGGGCGTGGCCGAGGCAGGGCAAGAGGTCGTGGGCGTGGTCAGGGTTTCCGAGTTGATGGACCTCCTACTCCTACCCAGGCTGCTCCCTGACCTCAGGAGGTACCGAACCTGCGTTAGGTTGCAGAAAGTTTTGGATGCCTGCTCAGCTAATTATGTCTATTTTAGGGGCAAAATGGGGGTTGGGGTTCTTCAGTAGTGAAGTTTAAGATCCTTTTCTAGGGAGGGATACTAGCTAGTGAGCTGCCCGCTCAATGTGTGTGGCAGCCATGTTTTTGTAGTTCGAAGGTAGGATAAGGATTGTTCTCGTTTATATCTGACCAAAACTTGAAAGTTGTATACCTTTCTCTTTTAGAAAATAATAGAGCAGTACATTCATTCTTTTCTTTTTATAAATAAACTCTTCAATCTGTTTTGCTTCAGGAAAAAGTGATGCATAAGTTTTAGGTCACCGACCTTTAGGGTATAGGGTTTGCAGTCTTGAGCTTGGTTGATTTTGTTGGAACCAGATCATTGAGTATGTGCCTGACTGTTATATGTTAGAAAACAAATCTCGAATCTATCTCGAGTTTGGTGCTTTGGAGGTTAGCTCAAATTGTGTTGCTACATCCGTTTGTAGCTGAGATGATAGCTTCCTTATAATCCAATTCTAGGCTAAATAAATGGCCAAAAGAAAATGTGTTAGAATAAGTGACGCCAATCCAGTGGTAATTCTCTTCATTTTGTTTGGGGATTTTTGTAGAAAAGTCAGATGACTTTAACACCATTCAATTTTTCATCTATTTTGAATGGTATTTTAGTCTTTCTAATGTGTAAACCTTTTTTTATTTTTATAAAGCCATGTAAACCTTCTTTTTATAGGCAACGCTTTCATCTCTTTTAACCCAAGCCTTTTCGCTGGTTTTAACTCAATCATCCCCAACCCCATTAAGAGCAGTTCCAGCGGTAGGCCCTGCCTTGGCAAAAGGCTGCCCATGCATAGAAATGGATCTCCAGGGGTACAAAATAGCCCAAGCAAGGCATGGGCTCCACCAAGCCTTGGCAGGCTCAAAGGCAAGAACAGCTCGAGTTGTTGCTTTAGGGCTGTGATATCATGTTGATGTTAACAAAGAAAAAAAATTATTTAAAAAAAAAAAAATCACCAAAAAAATTCAGAATATTTTTTTAATACATATCTAGCAATTTTTATTATTATTAATCTCATACATATAAATAAAATTAATCCAATGTGAATAGTAATTGTCATTGAGTTGCGATGACAATGGGTGAAAAAGTAACAAAAATATTGCTAGGGCATATTTTATTCACGTGAACGGTAACCCTTGCTTGTCATTGCCCTTTGCCATGGAAAATAGGCGGAAGTGCTCAAACAAATCACACGGCCAGACTTCCACCGAAAAACTCCTCCTCATGTCCCGCCAAAAAAATTCCTCAAGACACCCAACCGTGGCCAACCCGACCAATATACCATGGTAAAGGGCAAGAGTGAGATCCCTGGTTCCACCATGGTGAGCACAAGAGTGAGATCTCGTGTTTGAGTCTTAAATTGAAAAAAAAATTAAAAAAATCAGAAATTAAGAACAAAAAATGAAAACTAGATAAATCAATTCATCTGAAGGAAAAAAAAAAGATTGAAAACTAAGCTTGCCAAATGGAAGGTTGGAGAGAGTGCGGCTGCCTATGCAAATTCCAAGCAAGGGTGAGGAGAGAAATGGAGAGAAATAGCCATTGAGGGAGGAGAGAGCGCGAGAGAACCCACCGCCACCCCTGTTCCGAATCCACCCCATCATCAACCTTGCCACTGAACCAATAAGAGTTCTTCCACCCATTTACCATGGCAAATAGCAAGTAATAGCGGTTACTGTTCACATGAATAGTATCTATCATTGCTCTTTCTTTTGTGCTTTTCCACCCATTGCCATGGCAACTCAAGGGCAATTACTCTTCACATTGGATTAAATTTAGGGAGCTTCACTAATATACCTAAAATAGGAGCTGAAATTATAAAAAAGCCTCATATGAAATGCACTTTAGAAACACACCCAAAATCCATTTACTACATAAAAAATGAGTGTTGAAGTTCCTATAAATTACATGGTTGCCATTGATAAACTTAAAACCAGCCCAACACAAAAAACTCAAAAAAAACCCAAAATAAGCCCAGCAACCCCGAAGTACATTGTTAATACCATATCATAAAAGTACATTGTTAATACCATGTCATAAAAGTACATTGTTAATACCATATCATAGAAGTACATTGTTAATACCATGTCATAGAAGTACATTGTTAATTCCATTTCTTACAAAAAAATTCAAACAAAATTCAAAAAAATCCAACAAGACATTCGATATCCTTTATAGAAACCACCTCTAATTGTCCATAGTTTCACCATAAACAATCACAAAGGCAAAATGAAATACCTCTACAAAAAAGAAAAAAAAAAGTGCACTGTTAATACTATGTCATAGAACTATATTCCTAGTAAGAATCACATTTTGCATATTATAAACTTCAAGTGCACAGCTATATATACAGCAAAATATAAAGCATGCTTTGTTACTGCAAATATGTTAATATTATCTCATAGAAGTACACTGTTAATACTATGTCATAGAAATCAACTCAATTGAATGGTATGAACAATATAACAACTGTTCATACCACTTACTGGAAGTTAACAACTACATCATTTTATTTTCATAATAGGAGCGATAAATGTTTACAACTCCATACCACTCAAAATCAACTACATCATTTCAAAATCAACTACCAGTAGCTAAGACTTCTATAAATTCCTTGGTGCTACCCTTGCAATGGTACTAAGGTTGTTCACCAAATCTGACAACAAGAAATAAGAACAAAATAATTAAGCATAATAAAATAATTGGAACAACACAGATAACAATCATAAGCCCAAAGCGCATAACTGATAAGGTGAAATAGTATATAGAATTTCATTAGTCTACTATTTCACTACAAACTACAGGGATAATATGAAATCATTCACTCCCCGCATCAAAATTTCAATAGATATATGCTGAACCAATAAGAGAATGACATAGATTTTTTAAATTGAACTAAGAAATCCATATTCATAATTCAACGGGACATAAAAAGCAAAGAAACTCCATATAGTAGATCAATAAAGGAAAATAAAAAGAGGATATCTTGTTTTTCATTCAATAGTAAGCTCTGTGGGTTAAGTTGCAGAGCATTGCGCTACACTCGGGTTAGAGATGCATATTTAGCAAGCATTTCATATTGAAAATAGTCAATTTGATCATCCAAGAAATTAATATAGGTCTTTGGAGTCATCAAATAAGTTCATGTGTATGACAGATTCTAGAAACTTATTGCTTCAAATGAGAAATTGGTTTGGTTTCAAAACGCAGAAAATAATTCCTTATAGCTAAATCTTACAGCCAAATCAAAATGACTAGTGCTACTACATCAAACATGAAACAGCCTCACACACTTGGGTACAAGCTCTTGTAAGGATTAAATTGAACAACTACAGACGAGAGACAGCAATGCATGAATTTTCTGCCAACACATATGACCAATTCAAAATCAACCAACACCAAATAGCAAACTAAAATTCAGAAAATATCTACAAATTGTTTTTTTAATCCATTTTCCACATTTAAACTAGAGATAGAGAAAAGGAGAAAAATCAAACCAAATACGCAATGCTCCGCTGCCACCTCTGCAGTTGTAACCTCTGTTACCACCACCGCCGCTTCCACAAGACTGAGCTTCGTTGACGGTGATGTTACGACCGTCGAGGTTCTGGTCGTTCATGCCTTCGATTGCATCTCTCATGGCCTTCTCATTGCTGAAGGTGACGAAGCCAAAGCTGAAGCCCTTGGACCTCTAGATCTCACGGTTGTTGATGTTCTGGAAACACAAAAAGAAACCAAATCAAATCAGATCCGTCGATCAAAACCAAAACGTTGGAGTATAATCAAACGAATACACAATAATAAACAAAAATGAAAAGGAATCGATCGATCTATCTTCAATCTTTGGGAGAGAAAGATCAAGTAACATAGAGAAATAGAAGATCAAGTAGGAGATAGAGAACATGAGTCAAACGGCCCTTCGATTCGATGATCTCACCGAACGGAGAAAAGGCTTTCTCCAGCGCATCATTGTCTGTGGCCCAGGCGAGCTCTCTAACGAAACTTAGAATGATGAAGTTGAACAAAAACTGAGGTGGAAGAACAAAAACTGAAAATTGGGGTTGAAGATGAAGATGAAAGACTGGAGGTCGTGAAATGAATTCTGATCTGGTGTTGATTAGAATTCCAATTTTATGTTAAAAGGGTAATAAAGGTACTTCCTCTTAATAATTAAATTAAAAAATATACAGCTGTTGATTTTTGGGTTTATTTTGGGTGTGTTTCTATGTTTTAAATAGTGTAGGGTATATTTATAGTTTCATGTCTAGGAGTGGGTGTTTCACTAATTTTGTATTACATTTATTTATATGTATGAGATTAATAAATAAAAAATTAATAGGTGTTATAAAATAATGAATTTATTAATATTTTTTTGGAATATTTTTTGATTTTTTTTAAATTTTGTCCTTTGCTAACGTCAGTGCCCTCATGCAACAACTGGGATTGTTCCTATCTTCGGGCCTACCTAGTCTTGGTAGAGCCCACCATTTGCCCGAATTGGATTTGATTGGTGGAGTGCGTTTTTGCAGCTCGGGAGGGCCTTTTGCTATGACAATCCAAATCGGTGGAACCCCTCTAAGAACGAGCAAGCAAGCAGCCCACCGAAATTTTTTTTTCTCCCTCTCATTTCTCAATTGAATAGGAGAATACACATGATGAATAATTTTATATTACAAGCTCAGCTTAAGTGCTAAGCAAACCAGCTAACCAACTTTAATACTAAACACGTGATTCTATTTTAAAAGACTAACAACACTGGCATGTCATCTAACTATTAGCCAAACATGAAAGACTATAATACCTTTAACATAGATGGAAAATTAGATGATGTTAAAGTCAGATGACAAATTATGGATTTTGAAAAATTAAGGTGACAATTCTCTTAAATTTTTCTTTAAGGTGAAAAATTGAAACAGGTATAAAAGTTTATGTGACATTTCTCCAAAAATCTCTTTTATTAGAGGAGATTTCAAATTCTGAGTCTCCCCACTTCAACAAAGAAAATGTGACACTTCCAAGATGCAAAATGAAATTATTCATTCCTTGTATGATAATAATACGCAATGAAACATTTATTAGGTTTTTTTTTTTTTTTTTTTGGTGGCCAACTAGAATGTTTGTTTTTCTCTTCTCTATTTTGCATGGATGGTAACAATTGACAAGGAACGAGCATTAGCATGACAATTTGCCCCTTAACTATTTTTTTTTTAAGTATATTTTTATACAAGTAATATTAGGAGAGGGGGATTCTAATTTAAGACATCAGGTGCATGAATAAATACTCTTAACCATTTGAGTTACAAGCCCCTTAATTATGTTACAAGGAATTACTACTCTTGGCCAAAAAAATAGCAGCTCTATTGCAAGTGAGCTTGTTTGAGTTCTTCCTACCTTGAATACTGTTGTTATGTTTGCAACTTTTTTTCGTCTCTTATCTTCTCTTTGCCAAACAAAAAATTATTACATGCCTCAGTTTTAATCGGTGCATATCCATGGCTTGGTTCTGATGATACACCGGTACCATCAATACTCTCTGCTTGTGCAACAAAGGAAAATCCTATTCTGAATTTTTATTTATTTATTTTTGGCGAGTTTTTCTTTAAAATCTCATAAGTGCATTTATTAAGTGGCTAATATTCTTTTTGGCCCAACTAAACCATTAGAAACAACAGTATATCATAAACGAATATAATATTCTTTTTTTCTCTAATTTTTTTTATTTTTAAAAAGAGGGTATTTTCTACTTTTTATTTTAAACAAAAATGATTATTTACCAATAAAAAAATACTACTGTCGTCTGGAAACCTTGCGGACCACGGAATCCCACTACTCCTAGTAGACTTAGGATTCGAAATCCCTATATATACCTATCTGGTGGTGAGGAAATTAGAAACCCTAAAATTTGTTCTCACTTCACTCTGTAGTATTTGCTCTTCAATCGTTGGCCTCCTTGTTCACTCTGTTTGAGTTCTTGCATTCCGGGTTTGGTTAGTTTTGGGCAGGCTAGCTAGGCGTTGCATCATCAATGGCTTCCAACAACGAAACCCGTAAGCCACGGATGCGCGTTATGATGCCCCGTGAGGTTTTCCACTTCACCATTCCAAAACCAGAAGAGTATGAGCACATGGATGAAGATGTTATCTCTGAATCTGATGACGACTTTTCTTGTTCTTCTGTTCATTCAATGTGTGATTCATGTGTTACCTATGAAACTGAACATGATCATGAGATATATGGCCCACAAAGTGATAATTTGAGCTCTACCCATCATCAAGATCACGATCATGAGTATGATGAAATCTACGGCCCAGAGCCACTGTCTCCACCAAGATGTGCAGCCTATTTTGACTGCAAGTTGTGTTTGAAGATGGCAACGGAGCCAGTGGTGACTCCATGTGGTCATTTATATTGCCGGGATTGTCTGGACAAATGGTTGCACTTCTTCACCTCTCAAATGGAGTGCCCTGTTTGTCACAGTAAGGTGTTTGATTCGTCCATTGTTCCGATTAAGCCAACGCCGGTATGCAACAGAGACCTGAGTTATGGCTTCAATGTGCCACCACCAACACCAAAGGGGGGCCTTTGCTTTCGAAGAACTTTCAATTAAATATTGGTGTTTGTAGGCAGCTTATTTAGCCCGTCGGTATTTGTTGATTTGTTATGAATCCTTATGTTTTTATGTTCATTTGTTTAATACAATAAATTTATAACTACGTTCCATTTTCCACTCCTCCAAAATGTTTGATTGAATAAACGAACCTTAACAACAACAACAAATTCCTGGATTTGAAATCAATCTTTTCAGAAATCCTAAGGTTTATTTGGCCACAAATTGTGGTACACTAGATGAAATAACCTCAAATTTGCGATTTTTTGTTATTAATGTTTCGAAAAATCATACAAGGTGGATAGCGATCTTGGGATTTTTTTAAAGTTGTGTTGATGTGAAAATAATTGAATTAAGTGAGTTTAATCTCAAATTAGGGCTAAAATGCCCTTACATTTAATTTTATGAATTTTTAAAAGAAGTACAATAAATTGAAGTGAGAAAATTATAATTTTGGATTGGCAATCTCACGAACTCGTAGGCCCAAACGGTCGGTAAATCCTAGTTGAAACGAAGAATTTATGCTCGTTTGAACTTTCAGTGAGTTCATTTCAAAAGTGAACAGTGACAGATTTTGTCCATAAATAATGAAAGGCCAGAAGGGTGATTTTCGGCGGCTGCTGTGGTGGCGTCCAGTGAAGGTGATCGACACCACCCATGTCGATCGAAAGCTGAGTATCCCGCAAGCATAAAACAACAAGAATTGGAGCAATCTGAGCAATGGTGAAGGCGCAACGGTGTTCGGAAGTTGGCTCATGAATAGTGAAGTCAACGACTTCAATCGGTGGTTTGAGCCACTTCCGCTTCAAATTGACTTTGAGGTAAAAATTAAAGTTGCTCTACTTGTTGTTGCGAACGTTTTGGTATAAGTCTTGACCGTCGATTCTAAGCTTTTCCGTCATTGGAATAGTACCCCAAACCACCACTAGCGATGGCGGCTAGTGGAGGCCCATGGTGGGGATTCTGAGTTGGAGGGTTTGAGACAGGTTGTAATCTTGGAGGTGCTAAGCATGGTGGTGTTCTCTAAGTGTTGAGATTTCGTCGTTTGATTGATGATCACAGCCTTGCAATTTTGAACTGTTGATCGGAGATGATCGGATAGTTGCATCTTGTCTGATTTTATATATGTTATAGTTGGTGTTTTTTTGAGTCTGTAGGATTAGACATAATGGAGATCAGACTTCCCGATTTGAAGTTATTGTGTTTCGAAGTTAAGGCGAGCGATCACTGTTTGATCATGCTTGATCATGCGATCAAGAATGATTTGACCGTTGGATCGGGCCCAAATTGATTAAGGGTGATGTCAGGACTATTTAGAGTCCATTAGTGTGATTGGATTTGAAATATGAGGTTGCGGGCCCTAGGAGGATTTTAGAAGTATTGTTGGATATGTGGGACCCATGGAACCCAAATAGTGACTTTTTGGACAATGGGTGTCATTGGTCATGTTTTGACGTCGACAATGTGTACGTCACTATTTTGGAATTGTTTGGACAAGATTTGATTACTTTGGACCTCTGGGTGGGTCCGAAGGGCATTCTCCTCATTTGGGAGCGGAATCTTGGATTTTGGATTCTAAGTTAAGTTGCAAACTTTTCTTAGTTTTTGCAAAGCCAGAGTTTGAGGATTGTAGAGCTTGAGTGGTTGTTGTGGACTTATGAGTTGTTAAAGTTACGCAGCTTGGACGAGAGGTGAGTAAAACCATTATGGTTGTGAGTAAGATAAGATATTATTATATTTAATATAATGTGGTTCTGATAATGTTAATGGATATAATTAACATGCTGATGTGGTTTTTGAGAAACAGTTTTTGTGTGATTTTAAAATCATTTAAATGTGTTTTAATTTTAAATGAATTTGCAAGTTTTTGCAAAATGGATGGTATTTTTGGGAATGACCATATATATTATGATTGTATGGTGGTGTTCATGAATGAATGGCCACGTAAAGATATATAAGTAAATATATATTGTTGTGATGGATGTAATTTGATAGAAAACAATATTTAATGCGGAAATACATATTTATTATTTTCGGTGTGTGTTGTGATTGGAAGGATAGATGTGAGACTGCATTGATTCCTTCAATC